TTAACTCTGTCCCAGCGAAACCAGGACAGTATTTAACTAATTAGTCAAGCAGTAAATAAAAGCTAAACTGTGTTCCAACCAGCTTCCTGAACACAGTCAGGATGCTGTGGTACTTACCTTAGTTTCTGTAGCTTACCCTACACCTCATTAACAAGAACATGGTTTGGAAGAGATATTGAATAAAAGTATTTATTTTAACATGTTTACAGAGCCACACATCCAAAGTTCTCACCAAATCTGTGAGCAAATTATCTTTTTATCTACAGCTGTAAAAAATTTATTTACTTGCACTACGAAATAAAGCAGGTCTGATGTCAAGTGACCTTTACTCAGATCAGTATTCTTGCTTCGTTACTATAAAAGTCTGAAGATGTAAATTGTTTCCAGGAGCTGATTTGCATATTAAATAATCAAAGGGAATTTTTTTCCAAGAAGAAATCCATATTACTAAGCTGTTGCTAGTTACAATAAAATATGAAATGGCATAGAGACGCTCTTAAAGTGCGTTACTGCATCTAAATAAATAGCAGCATGTATGCCTCTTCAAAACAGAGGACAAGGAAGGGAGAGTGACCACAACAGAAGTATTTTGTACTATAAAAAGCTGGAGGAAAAAAAAATATGCAAGGCAAAAAGCCTTGTGTCATCAGTCTATAAAGATACAGCTTAATAACAAGGGCTCCATACATACGAGACAAATATGTTCTTCAGAAGTCCACGCTAGCAGAACCTCTCTACATCTACTGAAAATATACACAGCCACACATGTGTGTCTTTGGGATCCAAAAAAAACCCCCAAACCAAAGTATCTCCCACTGAACCATTGCTGAGCACAGGCCAGTATAAAAATATCACAGGCCTGTAGCGATAATAAAGCGGTTTATCATCAAGTTTATCACGGGCAGCAGATATGACATCAGCCTGATAAAATCAAGAGGATTCCAAGGCAGCAGGATGTTAAGCTCATGGTTTTCTTCGCCTAAAAAGACAAGAAAAGAAATAAAAAGAAAATAAAAAAGCCACAAAACTTTCAGGTTTTACACAGCAGCACTTTTCCTTCACAGGAGTCAACGCCGTCCTTACCTATCCTGCTGTACACACGTCTGTCTTACTCTTCTTATTAAGAAATGCTACAATTAACACAAAAAAACCTAAAGAGCTTATTTATCAAGGAACAGTTGGACTCTGCTTTCTTTTATAAACAGCCATGAGCTTAAAGCAAAGCTTTATTGCAGTTATTTAATAAGTTTAAATAAATACAAGCTCCAATGCACAGGCAAATGAAAGGATTGACTGCAATATCACGAGGCTGTAGCTAGGCTGTAAGGAGAAGCAGTCACCCTGAGCAGGTCCCAGTTTCTAATAAAAGATGTAATAAAGTGTATGAAAGGCACAGATTTGTCTGAAAAGGGGAATAATGATTTCAGATACACTCCAAAATACCCTTCCACCATAGCTCTAAACTTTCTGGATTCCAAATGCAGTAAGTTTAGTTGATTTTGGTTTCACAGAAACCTCTTTACCTCTCCAGCCCTTTCTCCAGCCTGCAAATGTCTTGCAAAAGTGCAAATTTTCTTCCCCTGAGCTGCCCAGGTGACTCCACAGCCCTGCCAGCACCTATCTGCAAGAGGCCAAATCTGGGTATTGAATCTGTTCTGCAACACCTAGTTTAACAAAACTACCTTGTTTTGTTAGACATGGGAGCTCAAGTGTTGGGCACCAGCCTTACAAACTGCCAGAGCAGTTTCAGGGGAGACCTTGTGGCTCTGTCCAAGTCCCTTGGAGGAGGGTGGAGAGAGGTGGGGGTGGGTCTGTTCAACCAAGGCCCAAGGGACAGGACAAGAGGAAATGGGCTCCAGTTGTGCCCAGGGCAGTTGAGATGGGATGTGAGGAAGAATTTCTTTGCTGAAAGGGTTCTGAGGCATTGGAAGGGGTTGCCCAGGGCAGTGGTGGAGTCCCCATCCCTGGAGGGATTGAAGAGTCGTGTAGACATAGTGCTGAGGGACATGGGTTAGTCATAGGGGACTTGTCAGTGTTGGGTTCATGGTTGGACTCGATGAGCTTAAAGGGCTTTTCCAATCCAGGCCATTTTGGGTGATTCTACAATCATTTGGACTTTCTGCTAGAAATTGGGACTTCTGACTTTGGTAGCTTGTGTTTATGTGTGCAACTACCATTGATCCCACCACGTTAGAGTATGACAGGACAGCCCTGAAGAATTCAGGCTGTTATCTATGCATTTGAAAAAGAGGAAAGTTTCTTTTAGTGTGACTAGAGCCTGTGCTTCCTTGGCAGTTGTCTTGACATCCACAGCAGCCAGGAGCTGGAATATTAGCTATGTTCAAGTACACCATTAGGTATATCCCACAGCTGCCTCAGTTTCCTCCTTCCTAAACCATACTGAAATGAATAGCGAGGTCTTTGTAACCTTAATTTAAGTTTACCTAAAGATACAAAAATGAATCTATTTTACTACATCAGCATCTGATAAAGGCTAGAAGGGTGGAAAAGGAGGGATACAGCTCAGTACCTTGTCACTGCCATCCCTAACCCTGTTCCAGGCATCCTACAGTCAAGATAGCACAGAAATGAAACCTGATGTTCTGCTCACTGCACTGAATGCGAGTTCTACCCAGAAGATGAGTTAATAATTCTGCTCAGAGTCTCCTACAGATCTGTCCTGTCACCAGTTCCCAACACTGGATGAGCCTGATTATCTTACACTATTTAAGAGGCATGCAGTCCAAGCAGGAAGGGTAGCAAGGTCAATGGGAGGGTAAAAGTTATCTCACTTTAGATGTTATCAGGAAAGAAAATGTAACATCCCAACTACAAAGGGGAGCTGCACTTACTTGGGCTGAGCATGATGCTGATATCCAGGTCCAAGAGCTGATCCTGCCCTCATCTCCACTGCCACAGAACACTGAGAAGACACAGGAAATCAGTCTCTACTGCTAAAACCCCGACCCAGCTATCAGCACAACCCCAAATTGTCATCCAGATGAAGCATGAGATACCCCCTTCCTTCCTTTTTAGCTTACTCTGGTTTCTACATCAGTCCATTCAGAGTCTGCAGCATCCTCGGGTGGGTCAGGATGGGAAGGGGATGATCTTCGCTTTCGGCTGGAAGAGGAGTATGTGGAGAAGAAAAAAAAAAGTTACAAGTGTGATATATTTTGACAGATTCTCACCCACAAGAATACATTTTATACTTTCTAAAGAAATACCTTGCTCTCAGCTTTTAGACCAAGCCTAACAGCAGCTACAGTATCTATAAGCCTCCCTGAGTTACTTTTATATGATTTCAAGTTAAATCTTGAAACAACAACTTTCTGTTTGCTATTTTGGACCTGATGCACTGCACACACACACACACACACACACACACTAGTGGAATGAAGCATCTCCAGCAGCATCAGAACCTAAAATGAAAACCACAACTCACCCAGTTGGAGATTCTTGCTTCAGAGTCTCTATCTCTGTGAACTGCACAGCCTGTCCACCACCCCTGGTTTTGAAAACATCACCCTGAAAACCAAAAGCAGTTAACAAGGAACAGTCACTAGGACAGTAGGATGGTTATGGTGACAGTTTTCACATGAAACCTGAAGTGCTTACAACTGTAGTTTCCTTGCAGTGTAGTAGCCAGCAAGCATCTGTGCACAAATACACTCTCCCTCATTCTATCTCTTCTCTTCCTGTGCACAGGATAATGGAGTGAACACCATCTACATAGAGCAGTCACTATGAAATATCACTGGAACCTACAAGGTTATCTCACAGGAGCAAGAGTTATTTTAAAACTCAAAAGAAAAAAAAGACAATATTGAAAGGACTGTAACTGTAGGAAAAAGGAACCAAAAACTTCTTGCCACAAATTACAAAGAGCTCTCAATTTGCCTTAGGTAGATACAGTCAAGTGTTTTGGGACATAAAACATTGCAAGTGTTCAAAGCTTTGGCTGTCTCACCAATTTGCTTGTCAGTTGACTACAAGAAATTATGTCCTGGAGCGTATGAGCATCCATCACTGCAGTGAGCTTACTCATACCCATAGTGGAAATCAAATAACATCCCTCCAACAAGACTGACTCCATAAGATCAGCTGCAGCCTCAAGTCTAATAAACTTTCACTACAAATGGATTATTACATTTTACTAGAAGGAAAAACAAAAAAAACAAACAAAACCAAACTTAATTACTTTCAAGGAAAACGGTGACTGAGATGAAGCAGCTTGTAACGGTTTCTATGAAGTAATGACAAAGTTCAAGTGTTTTCACATTCTGAATCCGAAAGCCCTTGAATTTTCACATTCTGAATCCGAAAGCCCTTGAATTTTCACATTCTAAACCCAAAATCCCTTGAATCTTCACATTCTAAATCTGAAGTCCCTTGAATCTTCACATTCTAAATCTGAAGTCCCTTGAATCTTCACATTCTAAACCCAAAAGCCCTTGAATCTTCACATTCTAAACCCAAAAGCCCTTGAATCTTCACATTCTAAACCCAAAATCCCTTGAATCTTCACATTCTAAACCCAAAATCCCTTGAATCTTCACATTCTAAATCTGAAGTCCCTTGAATCTTCACATTCTAAACCCAAAAGCCCTTGAATCTTCACATTCTAAACCCAAAAGCCCTTGAATCTTCACATTCTAAACCCAAAATCCCTTGAATCTTCACATTCAAAACCCAAAATCCCTTGAATTTTCACATTCAAAATCCAAAATCCCTTGAATCTTCACATTCTAAACCCAAAATCCCTTGAATCCAACTGCACAAAACTTTAAAATCCAATCTCAAACACGCCCTTTCACAAGCCTGCAAGCACAAACACATTCCCAAGAAACAGGTTTGGACGGGGTTATCACAAATCCACGACGAAGGCTTTTGCTTTACCTTAATTAGTTTGGTTTCAATCTCCCCATCAGAGGCTAGCTCCTGGTGCGTCAGCATATACTTGTCACACTTAGCTAGTGCCTTTTCGCTCGCAGCCGCCACCGTGATGGCATGAGGGACCTGTGGCTGCATGACTGTTTCAGTGGGCAGATTAGAAGGTGGTTTATGATCTACCCATCTCTCCCCAGCTGAGCGCGAGCGTCTGTGTCTGAGGCGAACTGGAGGTGCGTTCTGATCAGAGTGGAAGAGAATCAGAAGAAATCAGCACACAGGAAATCTCTCTCTGGGAGGATATCATTAGCTGAAGTGAACTTTGCAGGTCTGGTTAAGATGTGTTCGTATGAAGATCAAAGCTTTGTTCCTAAAGTGCTTTCAGAGTGTGTCCTGAAAGGCACCGTCACCAAGAGCCTTGCATGACATTATTAACAGATTATTTCTCTGCCAATTCCTGCTTCTTGTAGGCTTTACTTAAGTGTCATCCAATCTGTTGCATTCCATATCTAGTAAGTTTTTTCCTCAAGGAAGAACATCTTTACGTTTGGTAATGCTCTTCCCTCAGTTTCCAAATCAAAATGGATGGCTATGAACATATTAACCAACCAGAAAAAGACATTTATGTTTCTGTGGATTCAAATGTATTTTTGAGGTAGCAAAGCAAGCAGATTTGAGTATGGATTTCCAACACCTCTAAAGGATGCAAGACCTCGTAACACTTCTGAGTAAACAGAGCAGAGAAAGCATCCCTGTCCTAGTGCTGTTGTTTCTGAACTCAGCTGTTGGAAATCCATGAGAAATGATTGAAGTTCATGTATTTTTATTTTATGAACATAGCTGTCAGTTGCTCAGGGAAATCAGAAAACAAAATAAATCTGGAAGCTTGTTTAAAAACCTGTGTGCTTTCAAGATCTTTGAATAGGCTTTTGGAAGAGTATTTGCAGACTCTCTCTGTTCTATTTCCATACTAGTTTTAGAGACCTCTGAATCATGGTGAGGTTACACAACCCAAACCTATGAATGCAAATTATATCCACTGTATTTTCTGGTTATCAGCTTCAATTAGGATTTCTTTGACCAACAGAAATAAGATTGGCTGTACCCTTTAGAGATAAACCTCTTACAAGTCTAAAGCAGCTCTTAAAAATTAAACTTCTATAGGGAAAATGTAGCTTTCAACAAAAACCTTCCATTAAAAAAAATAATTTCAATATTCCTTCCCCTTTTAGTGGGCAAGTACTTATTTCTGTTGATGTTTTTTTGAAGCAATCCTGCCAACATGCCTTAGAAGTTATGTTTGGTAACTACTGGTCACATTTTACTGTGGCAGAGATTGTATCACTTACTCTGCTGACAGTGGTTAATTAGTTAATTGGAATAGCATTTGCTTAAAAGCATGTCCCTTACTTCAAAGAGCTGGCAAGTAACAGAAATTTTGAGAACACTATAAAAAAATGTATCTTATGATAAACTTTCCTTCTCTCAAGAAGCTCTTTTTAGGAGGGGTTGTAGAATTCTCTTCTATTTTCCTGAGCCACTGTGACAGTGCTATAACGTGACAGACACCACTGATACAAACATTTGCATCATCAGTTTAATGAGGAAAAAAAGCTTCCCACCTGTAAGCAAAGCCCCCAGTTTTAACAGAGATGTGAAAATTAGGGTAGGCTATTCTAAGAGAGTTAAAATCAACAGTGACAGAAGCGAGATGTTTGTCCAAGCGTTATTTCCAGCAGACACGTGCAGATGTGGCTCATGAGAGCACCTTTTAAGCTGCCCAAACAGACTATGGTAAATTGGAGGTTGCAAGATAGATTTGAGGAGACAGACACAAGTTAAAACACGAGGACATTCACAGCTAGAGAAAAAGTCTAGCTAGTGAGGAGTTCCTTACAAGAGCTATCTATGCACTAGCAAGAAATACACACAGTGCTTTTAAGGAGCTTTTAAACATCAAGTTAAGAAAAATAGAAGGAGTAGTGAGATTCAACTTGGTAACAGTACTGTTCTACAAGAAATACATGTAGGGGGAAATCCCCATCTGTGTTAGGTGTGCTCAATGTAGGAGAGCAGTTGTACCAAGCTTTTGAGCCAGACTAAGCAACACTACATTTAGCTTTTGACAGGAGCAGCACTAACCCTGCAGCATTGATCCTCTTCTATGTCTAGCTCATCTCTACACCTGGGAACCTCAATGATTCCAGTCCAGCACTTCCCTCGCCTTCTGTCTGAGGTGTTATAGTCTCTATTTTGTTCTGGTTCTTGTTGTCTACTCCTTGTATTAGAAGTGCCACTGGTAGGCTTGTGCGAAGGGGTTTTCTGCTCCCATTCCATAACACAGGATGCCACAGAAATGCTGCTACATGAATTAGAACGTCTGTGCACCTGCGGGTTGCTCACGAGCCGCTGGCTGTTAGGGACTTGAGTAATAAAGTTACTAGAAGGCTAAAGAGAATGGGAAAGAAGTTAGTGAACATACAGAACTGTCAACTTATCAAGGCAATAAAACAATGAATACTGACAACGTGCAGAGTGACAATTCAGCTATTCAAGCTTATTGTGTCGCAGTGACAGCATTAAGAATCAGGTATTCTTCCAATACTTAGTAGCATTAGCAGGTAGGAGCACAAATAAAGAGCACAGATAAATACAACAGGAGATGAAGAATTCAAAGCAGATTTAAGTTATCCAAATTCTGTGCTTGGGAACTATTCACTAGCCACTAAACAGAAGTGACCCGCACTTTAGTTCATTCTTATAAATATGCTTTTCCCCCTATATCAAGAAGTGTTTTAAAGGCAACTTACAGGTACTGGTGAAGGAGACACTGATCTCTGAACAGGCTTCTCTCTGTCCCTCTCCCTCGAAGGCCTCTCTGGCTTTTCATTTTTTGGTTCAGTGACAATGGCCTTCAGTTGCTTCAGTTTTTCATCTTTGACCCAAAGTTTGTTCTGCATTTCCAGCTGTTTTGCAGCTACACGAACAGAGACAAGTGAAGAAAACCATGCGGTACCTCACACAAAAGCACAAGTAAAGATGGGGAAAGTTTGAAGGGAATTGCATATTCCACATGGAATGAAGTTCTTCCCCACTGAGATACAAGTTATCAGAAATAATGGCATATCAAGCTAAAGAAAGACTTTCCAGATTATAAAGCAGTACTATGTTTAATGCCATCATAATTTTGCTTCCTAAATTATGACAAATGGGAGCATGTCTAACTATAGTTCTATCAATGCTCCTGAAGTACTCAATGCTCTGAGGGTGGTCAGACACTGGAACAGGTTGCCCAAGGAAGTTGTGGCTGGTCCCCCCCCGGAGGGGTGAAGGGCAGGGTGGGTGGGGGTCTAGTGGAAGGTGTCCCTGCTGCTGGCAGGGGGGTTGGGACTGGGTGAGCTTTAAGGTCTCTTCCAATCCAAACCATTCTATGATTCTGTGAAGTAGTAAACAGTCCTGCAGTAGTAAAAATTAATCCCTCAGGTTTTCTTTCCTTATTGTTTGTCAAGTGCATATCTGAGCAAGGGTTTACATGAGGATAAAGGGGAAACCTTGACATGAGGCTCCTACTGACAATTGACAGAAGAGAATCACTCCTTAGAGTGCCACAAACCCAAAAGAACAAATTGTAGATATTGAAATGCAGTGACACAGCATTTACGAGGGCTGCTCCAGCTGCATCAAAAGTCCTTGAGGAATTTATAGTATCATAGTATATTTATAAAAGTTAAAAATTTCTGTTCAAGTTCATAATTAAAAGCCAAAATACATCTCCATTCCTAATGCTACTACTATATAAAAAAACCTCACAAAACCAAGCTGCCCAGCTGCCCCCAGCATCACCTGGTTACACATCTCTAACAGGTCTGGCAGTGTACTTACACACTCCTTCTCCCATTTCACGGTTGTTTCTGCCACCATGCCTTGCAATCGTGCCTCCAACCTCCGCTTGTCAGAAGCCTGACGTTGCAATTTCTGGCTCTTGCTTTCCAGTTCTTGCTGAAGGTGACGCTTGTCTTCTTCATAAATTGTTGCAGTTTTTTCTAAAATCTCAATCTGGAGGAAGAGAGGAAGGATTTGGTTATTGCTTCTTAGAAGCACAACTGTCTGAGCCCAGAATTATTAGTGATATTTGACTGTTAACATATACTAGATTATATTAGCTGTTGTACAAATAAACCCAGATAAACAGTCCACTTCTCAAAAAGTTTCAGAGTTTTTACAACTTTTTTACAAGTTGCCCATCTTAACCTATTAAGAAATAGGTTATTTCTTAATATTAAGAATCTCACCTCATAAGAAAGTCAAAAAGCTAAAAGTGTGCAGTAAAGTTCCCCACAAAATACTTTTAATCTTGTTTCTAACAACCATTTTGCAAGCAACTTCTGCTATCAAGGAGCTTGCCAAATGGTACAGAGAAGATGCACTGTGTGCTTAGCTTTAGACAATGAAGAAAACCTGACCTTGTATTCCAGAGTTTTAATTTTCTTCTCTAGGCGTTCTAGCTCCGTTTTCTGTCCTGCTATTGTTTTCTCTTTTTCAGAGAGTTTTCCTTGAATATAGTTTTCCTTGGATACAATGCTGGAGTCAAATTCTTTCAGCGCGGTTTTAAACGCAAGCACTGCAAGAGAATCAATATATTTTATCTTTTCACTATATCTCCATAATATCAAAAGCAGTCCTACTTTTCTCCTACCAATTTAACACTACCAGCAATTTCATTACCTCAAAAAGGTTTTTTAAGTGATCAATCTAGACAAGATCCTTTCATGTTGGTATAGAAGAGACCCCTCGAGTAGCAATAAGGGCACCAAAGATCTATCTCCACACTGATGTTCACGTTCTTACCATTTTTGGCAAACTCCTCTGACAACATTTGTCGTAGTTTATGGCGTTTTTCCAGGACTTCAATAAGCTTTGGAAGTGTTTGATCATCATCAACATCCAATAGCTCACATGAAGGCAAGGGAGGAAAGTTCTGCAAAAACATTTCTGAAACAGATTGCTCTTCTGTTTCTGTAAGATTTAAAGCCAAGAAAGTCTGTCAGCAAGTTAGAGAACAGGAAAATGCCATTTGACGATGCACAGCCACAGATCATTCATTTCACAGTCACATGAAGCAGACAGAATAATTAATGAGAACTAGAAGTTTTCAGAAGACATGACAGTGTTGAGAAGCGATTAAATGTGACATTCTCGATTCACTGCTTTATAATACCTCCAGGCAACTCTTGATTTCTAAAGCAGGCCCTAAGCGTACAAAACCATCAAAGTATCATCCTCAGCACAATTTCCTTTCAGGAGCTGAAATAATGGGAATCACAAATTCAACTCATCACCAATAACAAAGAAATTACTTTGAGACTTACACAGTAGCTGGGTTTATACTACAAGCAGTAAGGCAGTATGAAAAGAGAGGTAGTTATTGCAGAGAAGGCTCACAACTAACAGTTAAGTGGAGTTCCTTTTGCACTTTCAAAGCTCAAATAATCGGTTTTAAAATAGCCTTCAGCTCCTAACAGAAAAAAATTGTGCTGTAATCATCTCACTTTCTAGCATTTACCTCCATTTATGGGACCACCCCTCATCTCCAGTTTCCTTGAGAGCTCCTCTCGGAAGGCCTGATTCCTAAAGCGCCGTCCTGGCGTTAAGCCACAGAGGGGTCTGTCAACGGGTCTCGCAACTTCAACTTCCTGCGTCATTTCTGCAAAGCGCATGACTTGCTACAAAAGAGTAAAAGCAAGTGTAACAACAAAGCAAACCACAAATAGTCCGAGGGAAGTTTGAAAGTGACACCTTAGGTCAATAAAAGCATTAGAGGAGACGTTATCCAAGCTATAATCTCAGGTAGTTCACAGCTAGATAGCTTGTGATTCTGAAGCGGAGCATCCACAAACCTTCCCAGTAACATCTCAGGCCCCAAGGAATCATGAAACCAACTGCACAGATAGCTCAATTTTTTGTAAGTACTATCAGAGTAGGGATTGAGCACCTAAATACTTCTCTTTGGACTTCTGTAAATAAGCCTTTCCTGTTTCACAAGCAAGTAGTTGTAATTTTGAAGAGGAAAAATAAGACTTGGAGGGCACATTTACCCTACAATATTATATTTGATTACCTGAAGTGCCCAAGCAAGAAATAATTCCTCTCATCTATTAAAGTACAAGAATTCTGTGACACATTAAAAAAAAAGAGTAGGAGGGAATGAGATAAGATCTGCAAGGAAGTTACCAAGCTTTCCTCGTAGTCCTCAGCTTTAGGATTAACACACACAATCATACGCACTTTTCCTTCACCATCAAAATAGTTCTTGAAGAGATGAGTCAGTTTGGAATCTCTGTATGGAACCATCTGAAAATAAAGCACATGGAAGATATAGTCAGCTCTCATTACACCAGGTCTTTATCAAATCAAAATATAATTAGATAACGGGTTACGTACTTTATTTGTTCCATTCATCTGGTTTTCTCGTAGAACTTCAATACATGTTCTTAATGTCATCAGTGACTGATTAATATTACCTTAAAATAAAAAACAAACCCAAAAACCTCTGTAAGCAGCCATTTGGATCGTATTGTCAAATTATTTAGGAGTTTACTTATGAATAAATTGCCTGGACTTCAGTTATAATTAGAGCAGTTATCTGTAACAAATAACTGAAGTACCAGAATAAGTGCTACTAAAAACTTCTGGTTTCCAAACTAGAGGATTTAAGGTCATCAAATCAGACAACTGAACATCATAACAGAACACTTCAATCCCTCCTATGATGTCTTTACTAGGGAAACAAGACTAATATGAGGATGTACCTGAAGGGGGCCTACAAGAAAGCTGGGGAGGGACTTTTCATAAGTGCAGTTAATGACAAAACAAGGGGAAATGGGTTTAAGCTGAAAGAGGGGAGGTTTAGATTAGATATTAGGAAGAAGTTCTTCACTGTGAGGGTGGTCAGACACTGGAACAGGTTGCCCAAGGAAGTTGTGGATGCCCCCTCCCTGGAAGTGTTGAAGGCCAGGTTGAATGAGGCTTTGAGAAACCTGGTCTAGTGGAAGGTGTCCCTGCTGATGGCAGGGGGGTTGGAACTAGATCATCTTTAAGGTCCCTTCCAACCCAAACCATTCTATGATTCTGTGATTCTATGTATTAGTACATAAAATTAAGAAGGTGGTACACACCTGCTTCTCGCAGCCTGTTCCCTTCAGCTTTTGTTCTGTTTGTTCTTTCACTTCCAGCCAGATCAACTAAAGAGAGTTGGCTTAACGTGATCTGTTCTTTCTCCTGGTACAGAAAATAAACTGTTAGGCTAATGATTAGCTCTATATTCCTTCTAACAAGGGTGGAAGGGGAACACTCCACCCACCTCAAAACAGCATGCACACTTAAAAGTATGTGTGTTACAGCTTTAGATGGGCTGAGGGTGTTTTTATAGCCCTCAATGCAAGAAGTTGTGCATTAAAAAGACTAGCAGATCCCTTCTGTCTTGGGCCACGAGATAGATCTGATAGATCTAACAACTGCACTTGCTCAAATCCTCCAAGTTTTAGATTCTCAACAGTTTTTGCTCAAAAGAAGCAGAGGTAAAGAACGAAGGAATAAGCCTCTTCACACTCCATTTTAACGCTCTCCTTCCATTAGAAAAAGAACTCTAATTGTGTCAAAGACTCAAAATTTAATTACTTTTATTTCCCTCAAAATAAAATGGCTAATGAGCAAGATGCATTCGCTGGAGACACACTGTTTGGTAGGCCACGCTGCAAGGTTCACCACCTATTCTAACCTACAGATACATACATACACTCACACAGTTCTCCTCTCCTGCCCCAAATTCACCTGTAGCACGTTATCTCCATCTGCATCCAAGGGTGCCTGAGCCAACTTTATTATAAAAACACTGTGAGAGCGACTAGATTCTCGATTCAGCTGAGTGTTTGCAATACGCCTCTTCTTCTGACCTGTTTGTGTAAGAAGAACAAAAAAAAACAATCCCTCCAAAAACCTGGTTTATTTAACAGCCAGTTAAATAACAACAGCAAAGCCAGTTGTGTTTTCAGCCTGATAGTACAAAGGATTAGACAGGTTAAATTATACTGAATTTAACTAATTATATTCTAAGATTTACCTCTCCAAAACACTTCAAAAGCTTCTTCTGTAGATTTCACCTCTACTTCCGTGCATCCTGTCACATACATGTTGTGATTCTGGTCCTCACGAAGGATTTTAGATTGTGGAGGTCTTAAGGACAAGGGAAGAAATAAAAACAAACAAAAAACCCCCATAAAATTGACTGAATTTTTATACACAATACATTGTGTTATGAATTTTTTCTTTTGTTTAAGTACAAAATTCAGACTGAATATGTCAATTATCCATACAGCAGATGGAAGAGGAAGAACGAGTACACGGACACACATTCAGCTAAGATTAGTTACACTCCAGCTACTGCTTTAATTTAGAAGCTACGTTTAATTGCAATTCTTACTGGAAATCATGGGTTTGGAAGGCAGCTATTGTTTTTCTGCATGCATACAGAAGCAAGATGGCTTCAACAGCGTTTTATATTGGCTAGTAAAGCAAGAAGAGATAGGGAGTCAGGCCAAGTTTATTTTCTGCTTCTACTAAAAGAAAAATGTGCTTTTCAATATTGGGAATAATATGCTTATGCACATACATAAAGTCACCATTTCTCACTGGAGTGTTGCAACTGTTCCACCTACCAAGAAAACAGGGTTAAAAGAACAATATTAAGTCATTCAGCTTGTGTCCAAAATCTTTTTCTATATAATACCCTGTAGCTTCCATAAGTAGAAATAATCCAAGATTCTTCATAGGCTGATTTTTGGACATAAGCACAACACTAAACCAAATAGTTTGATTCTTTAAAAAGCATTCACATTCAAACCTTTTTCAAATCAGTACCCTGGAGACAGCTCTTGATTTTCAGAGTAATGGCTTGTTTTGGTCTAGTTAGTCTTTGTAAATCAGCCAACTCTTTAATTAACACATGTACCAATGGAGAGACCTAGGGTTTTCTTTAACAGATTTAGAATTTAAAATA